GATGGCCTCCAAGTCCGCCCAAGATGGTCCAAGACGGCCTCACATACGGCCCAAGAAAGTCCAAAACGGCCGACGACGGCCCAAGAGGCCCCCTAGAGGCCTCCAAGACGGCCCAAGAGGCCTCCAAGAGGTCCTCCAGGAGGGCCCCAAGAGGCCAAAATCATTGATGTTCCTTAGGTTTTTGAAGGATTTTCGCATTCGCTGCTCCGCGGCTTTCCGACAACCCAAGACGGCCCAAGAGGCCACCAAGATCGCCCCCACAGCGCCCAAGAGGCCTCCAAGATGGCCTCAGGACTGCCCAAGAGGCCCCCAAGACGGCCCCAAGAGGGCACAAAAACGACCCAAGAGGCCTCCAAGACGCCCAAGATGGCCTCCAAGACGGCACCCCAAGCGGGCCCCAAGTCGGCCCAGAGAGGCCCCCCAGACGGCTTCCGACGGCGTCAGACGGGCCAGGAGCCCACCAAGACGACCGAAGATGGCCCTAAGATGGCCCAAGACGGCCCAAGAGGCCTCCAAGAGGGCCTCCAGGAAGGCCCGAAAAGGCCAAACTCATTGACTTTCCATAGGTGTTCGAAGGATGTTGACGTTTGCTTCGTTCCGGCCGTCCGACGGCCCGAGACGGCCCAAGAGCCCCCAAAGATCCCCCAAGGATCGCCCAAGAGGCCTCCAAGATGCCCCCAGAACGGCCCAAGAGGCCACCAAGACGGCCCTTAGAGGCTCCTAAGACGGCCCAGGATGCTTTTAAGACAAGACGCCCAAGATGGCCTCCAAGACGGCCCTGGAGCATTCCAAGAGGGCCCCAAGTTGGCTTAGAGAGGCTCCCCAAGCGGCTTCCGGACGGGCCAGGGGCCCACCAAGACGGCCGAAGATGACACTAAGATGGCCCACGACGGTCCAAGAGGCCTCCAAGAGGGCCTCCAGGAAGGCCCGAAAAGGCCAAAATCATTAATTTCCAATGAGTTTTTGAAGGGTTGTGGCATTTTTGTTTCGGCCTTCCGACGGCCTGAGACGGCCCAAGAGGCCCCAAACATCGCCACAAGAGTGTATAAGGCCCACAAGAGGGAACACATGGTCCGATAGCTTGGCAGGTCTGGCCTCAACGTTCGGCCACATAGGCGCTTCCACAAAGGCAGGGGGCGGCGGTGATTCGCCGTAGGCGTCTTCGATCCGCCGCCCCCTGTCGATTCGTCGCAGGGGTGCCTGGCGTGCCAAATTTTTCCGGTTTTGATGTTGGTTCTTTGTCCAAAAGAGCTCCCCCTGGGGCTTCGGCCCATCCCGTCGGGGTCCCGGGACGATCTTCAAGGAGCTCAATTCCTGGAAAAATCCTCCAAACGGCTCAAGATAGCCTCCAAGATGGCCACGTTGGCCCAAGATGGCCTCCGAGATGGTCCCAGATGGCCTCCAAGTCCGCCCAAGATGGTCCCAGACGGCCTCCAAGACGGCATCAGAGAGTCCAAGACAACCCCAAGTTCGCCCAAGAAGCCTCCAAGACGCCTCCAAGACGGCCCAAGAGGCCTCCAAGAGGTCCTCCAGGAAGGCCCGAAAAGGCCAAACTCATTGACTTTCCATAAGTGTTCGAAGGATTTTGGAATTTGCATGTCCTCGGCATTCCGACGGATCAAGACGGCCCAAGAGGCCCCCAAGATCGCCCCCACAGCGCCCAAGAGGCCTCCAAGATGGCCTCAGGACTGCCAAAGAGGCCCCCCAAGACGGCCCCAAGAGGACACAAAGACGACCCATAGGCCTCCAAGACGCCAAAGATGGCCTCTAAGACGGCCCTGGAGCACCCCAAGATCGCCCCAAGTCGGCCCAGAAAGGCCCCCCAAACGGCTTCCGACGGCGTCAGACGGGACAGGAGCCCACCAAGATGGCCGAAGTTGGCTCGAAGCTGGCCCAAGACGGCCCAAGAGGCCTCCAAGAGGGCCTCCAGGAAGGCCCGAAAAGGCCAAACTCATTGACTTTCAATAGGTGTTCGAAGGATTTTGACGTTTGCTTCGTTCCGGCCGTCCGACGGATGGAGACGGCCCAAGAGCCCCCAAAGATCGCCCCACAGCGCCCAAGAGGCCTCCAAGATGGCCTCAGGACTGCCCAAGTGGCCCCCAAGACGGCCCCAAGAAGACACAAAGACGACCCAAGAGGCCTCCAAGACGCCAAAGATTGCCTCTAAGACGGCCCTAGAGCACCCCAAGAGGGCCCCAGGTCGGCCCAGAAAGGCCCCCCAAACGGCTTCCGACGGCGTCAGACGGCCAAGACGGCCCAAGAGACCTCCAAGAGGGCCCCCAGGAAGGCCAGAAAGGCTTTTGAAGGATTTTGACGGTTGCTTCGTTTCGGCCTTCCGACGGCCCGAGACGGCCCAAGAGCCCCCAAAGATCGCCCAAGAGCCCCCGAGACGGCCCAAGAGCCTCCAAGATGGCCCCAGAACGGCCCAAGAGCCCCCCAAGACGGCCCCAAGAGGCCCCCAAGACGGCCCAGGAGGCTTTTAAGACGCCCAAGATGGCCTCCAAGACGCCCATGGAGCATTCCAAGAGGGCCCCAAGTCGGCTCGGAGAGGCCTCCCAAACGGCTTCCGACGGCGTCGGACGGGCCAGGGGCCCACCAAGACGGCCGAGGATGGCACTAAGATGGCCCACGACGGTCCAAGCGGCCTCCATGAGGGCCTCCAGGAAGGCCCGAAAAGGCCAAAATCATTGATTCCAATGAGTTTTCAAAGGATTGTGGCATTTGTTGTTTTTCCAGCCTTCCGACGGCCCGAGACGGCCCAAGTGCCCCCAAAGATCGCCCAAGAGGCCCAAGACGGCCCCAAGAGGCCCCCAAGACGGCCGAAGAGGCCTCCAAGACGCTCAAGATGGCCTCCAAGACGGCCCAAGAGCCCTCCAAGACGTCCTCCAAGGAGGCCCGAAAGGGTCAAAATAGCCTCCAGGCGGCCGAGATGACCTTCAAGATGTCCACGTGTTCCCCGAAGGCTTTCCAAGCCGATTCGGGGAACACATAGTCCGATAGCTTGGCAGGTCTGGCCTCAACGTTCGGCCACATAGGCGCTTCCACAAAGGCAGGGGGCGGCGGTGATTCGCCGTAGGCACCTTCGATCCGCCGCCCCCTGTGTGCTTGCCACAGGGGTGCCTGGCGTGCTAGACCCTTTCGTTGTTGGTTTTGGTTCTTTTCCAAAAGAACTCCCCTGGGGCTTCGGCCCGTCCCGCCGGCCACCCAGAAGGGCGCGCAGAGATGCACAACAGGTTGTTGCAAAGGGTTTTTCGGCTCCAGATGGCTCCAAGATGGCCTCCGAGATGGCCAAGGTGGCCCAAGATGGCCTGCAAGTTCGCCCAAGATGGTCCAAGATGGCCTCGAAGACGGCCCACGAGAGTCCAGGATGCCTCCAAGTTCGCACAAGAAACACCTGAGACGGCCCAAGACGGCCACAGAAGCCTCCAAGCGGCCTCCAAGACGGCCCAAGAGGCCTCGAAGAGGTCCTCCAGGGTCCTCAAGGACGGCCCGAAGAGGTCAAAATCATTGATTTCCATTTGGTTTTAAAGCATTGTTGCTTTTGCTCCTTTCCGGCCTTCCGACGGCCCAAGACTGCCCAAGAGGCCATCAAGATCGCCCCAAGAGTGCCCAAGAAGCCTCCAAGACGGCTCCAGGACGGCCCAAGAGGCCCACAAGACGGCCCCAAGAAGGCCCCAAGACGGCCCAAGAGGCCCCCAAGAAGCCCAAAATGGCCTCCAAGACTGCCAAGATGGCCTCCAATATGCCTCCAAGACGGCCAAGATGGCCTCCAAGATGGGGCTAAGATGGCCCCGAGATAACCCCAAGATGCACCCAAGACGGCCCAAGATGGCCTCAAGATGGCCTAAGACTGCCCTATAGGCGCGCAAGAGGCCTCCAAAGACGGCCCAAGAGCCCTCCAAAACGTCCTCCAGGACGACCTGACAAGGTTAAAATCATGGATGCTCCTCTGGTTTTTGAAGGATTGTAGCTTTTACTCCTTTTCAGCTCTCCGATGGCCCAAGACGGCCCAAGAGGCCCCAAACATCGCCACAAGAGCGCACAAGAGGCCTCCAAGATGGCCCCATGACAGCCCAAGAGGCCCCCAAGAGGGCCCCAAGAAGGCCCTCAGACGGACCAAGAGGCCCCCCAAGACGCCCAAGATAGCCTCCAAGACGGCCAAGATGGCCTCCAAGATGCCTCGAAGACGCACAAGATGGCCGTCAAGACGGCTAAGATGGCCCGAAGATGCACCCAAGACGGCCCAAGATGGCCTCAAGATGGCCTAAGACGGCCCTATAGGCGCGCAAGAGGCCCCCAAGAGACGGCCCAAGAGCCCTCCAAAACGTCCTCCAGGAAGGCCCGAAAGGGCCAAATCATTGAATTGCCTTAGGTGTTTCAAGGATTGTGGTTTTTGCTCCTTTCAGCGCCCAAGAGGCCTCCAAGATGACCCCATGACAGCCCAAGAGGCCCCCAAGAGGGCCCCAAGAGGGCCCCGAGAAGGCCCAAAATGGCCTCCAAGACAGCCAAGATGGCCTCCAAGATGCCTCCAAGACGGCCAAGAAGGCATCCAAGAAAGCGAAGATGGCCCGAAGATGCACCCAAGACGGCCCCAGATGGCCTGAAGATGGCCTTAGACTGCCCAGAAGGCCCGCCAGAGGCCTCCAAGACGGCCCAATACCCCTCCAAGACGTCCTCTAGGAAGCCCCAAGCTTGGAAACCACGTGGTCCAATAGCTCGCCCGACACCGTGTTCCCCGAAGGCTTTCGAAACCCACTCGGGGAACACGTGGCCGGATAGCTTGGCCAAGCTGAAACCCAACTTTCGGCCACGCAGGCGCTTCCAAAAAGGCAGGGGGCGGCGGTGATTCGCCGTAGGCGTCTTCGATAAAGCCAACGTCTCAATATGCACTGATGATTCCTATCCGCCCCCGCATGATGTTCCCAGATGCGCCAAGGCAGCGCCAAGACGCATCGACGCGATTCTGATAGAGAGGGGGCTGGCGGCAGCGGGCGAAGCCCTTACAGATAACCAAATGCAATCGAGGTACCCCGACGCCCAATATGTGATCTTACGTCCATCTGTGAGATCACGTGGAATGGCACGCATGCTCGGATACGTGTCGAACCTTCGGGAGACCACCACCAGCTGGTAAGCGCCGAACCCCGCAGTGAACGCGAGGACCAATGCGTACGCCACGACCGCTGTGACGAATATTCGGTCGAAGAGCTGGTCGTACTTCTCCTGGTTGGTCACTGAACTACCCCCACTCGTGAGCCTCAGATCTGTATGCAGCCTGCCGGATATGAAAGTCTAGGGAGTCCAGGGCACGGGGCACGGGTGCTTCGTTGATCGACGGGCCTTCGTCTGACCACCTCCACCACCACGCATCAGATCTGGACGCAACCCCTGACGCACGTGGGCGCTGCAGGCTCGGGTCGTGACGGCCTCTGCGCTGGTTCCTGACGCCGCGTGGATCCTTCCGCCTCGAACGCTCGCGGCTCTCCGTCGGCGCGGATCGCTCGACGTCGGCCGACTCTGGGCCACTGGGCTGCGCTCCGCCTCGAACGCCTGGAGGAGGAGGAGGAGGAGGAGGAGGAGGAGGAGGAGGAGGAGGAGGAGGAGGAGGAGGAGTTTCAGTCCGCGGCCCCAGGGCTCCCGACCACCTCTCCCCGGGGCGCGAGAAACACCCAAATTCAGAAACACGGGTCGCCAGAGATCTGGGACCGCAGGAGTGCCCACGGCAAGCTCCTGTCGTGACAGCGCGGTCTCTCTGGGCTCCCTCACCGCGCGAGCTGGAGGCGTCCCAACTGGGGTCCGAGTAGAGATGAGGTCGGAGGATCGCGCAGCATCACCATTGCATCGCCAACGCATCGGCGATGTATCAGCTATGTCGGCGATGCATCGTCGGCGTTGAGAAAGTCGGGCTCTCTCTCTCTCTCTCTCTCTCTCTTTCTCTCACTTGCGTTCTCTCTCTCTCTCTCTCTCTCTTTCTCTCTCTATGCGTATATATACTATGTATGGATACTTATGTCTATAGATGTAAACAAACACATATGTAAATCTACGCATGTGCATATATGCATGTAATCAGCCCCCCACACAGCACGACCCCTGCCCAAATCGATGATGTCTCTCCTTCTCACTCTCTCTCTCCCTTTCTCTCTCTCTCTCTCTCTCTCTCTCTCTCTCTCGATATATATATATATATATATAATTATATATATATAACATACATTTACACATATATATATATATATATATATAATATATATATATATATATATATATACGGGTGCCCGGCAATCTGGCACACGTGGGGCCTGACGGAGCAGCTCTGGGGGCGGCCCGCGCACACGTCGAGGCACGAATCGAAGAGGACCGGGTAGAGGAAGAGCAGAAGGAAATTCAAGTACAGGAGGAAATCGACGAGCAGGTAGAGGAAGTAGACATAGGAGCACGCATTCGCGATGCTCTGGACGATAGCACGTGTGAACTTCTGGAGGGCCAGCTCTGTGACCTGGGACATATAGACAAAGGCGCACCCACTCGTGCGCCCCTACAGATAATTCGCCCTCACGCCGACGCCCAGGGAGACGAGGACCCGGGGGAGGAAGAGCACGTGGAAATTGAAGTACAGGGAGCACTTGAAGCACTGGCAGAAATTGAAGTACAAGGAGCAATCGGGGATCAGGTGGAAGGAGGTAGGCATTCGTGAACTTCGTGATGCCCTAAACGCATTCGTGATGCCCTAAACGCATTAGTGATGCCCTAAACGCATGTGTGAACTTCTAAAGGATGTCCTAAACGCATGTGTGAACTTCTAAAAGATCCTAAGGGAATTGTGATGCCCTGAACGCATCAGGTGGATCGCATTCGTGATGCCCTAAACGAATTTGTGAACTTCTGAAGGACCAGCTCTGTGACCTGGTACATATAGGCATAGGCGTATAACGCGTTATACTTGTAGGATGTATGTCGGATAGTCCTGCTGGGCCGTTCAAGCGATTGAAACAATTTCCATGCTGGGCTTCATCTTCATCTTGTCGCTCCCGTCCAGCAGAGGCTTCCGCAGGAAGTTGACAATGACGTCACGATGGCATCCGTCGGCCCCAGCGAAAGCGCGCGCCTCGTGCTTCACCAAACGGTCATTGAAGAAGACGCTCTCCCAAGGCTCAGTGAGCGCCTTGTCGAAGAGGCAATTGGACCAGTCGAAGCCGTCGGGCTCATCCATGCTCTTCGGCCTCTTGAAGTTGCCAAACGCGTTGCTGCTGTAATTGCCCGTTGGTTGCTTGAGGTTCCAAATCCGGCTCTCCCCACCGCTGGACACATTCCGTCGCCCAATTAGCGTCACGCTAGACATCTCGGTGCCATCCTGGTGGATGCCTTCAGGAGTCGGGCTCTCATCAACGCCGAGAGCACTCGTCTTCTTGATCCGGATCAGGATCTGGTCGTTGATCACATGACGCGAGTCGTTGTTGATGTTGCTCTGGGGGTGATGCTGCTTGGGAACGAGGGCCTCGTTCAGTGCTGCGATAGCCATGGCCACGGAGCTACCAGCGTATGCTTTCGGAGGCTCTGGCCAGTGCCTTGTCTTGGAACGCGCGAACGCGACCTTCGCGCCACTGTCCGACGTGATCTCTTCAGGATTGATCTGGGTCACGCCAGGCATCATGGCCTCGAACGGCGCATCCCCGTCCAGGTCGAGGACCATCCTGTGGAACGCAACTTGGCGGAAATACATGTTGGGCTCTGGGTCGGAAGCGACGTCCGCGTGCACGTCGCCTGCCTCCAAAGCTTGTAACTCCTTCTCTTCGGCGCCCTTCCACTTCAACAAGGCACGGTAAACTTCCCCAGGAATACAGACAAAGTTATGTTCAGCAAGCTCGCGCTGAATGCGAAGCAGCGACGCTGGTGGATCTTCCTGTGATATCGTATCGCAAGCGGGGCGAGGCGCCGCGGCGCAGCATCCGAGGGAGGCGAACATTATGTGGAGTTGGACACTTAAGAGGAGCGGTGAGATTGGTCTAGGTTCGAGATGAGTCCGAAAACAACTCAGGACCAAAAGGCTTGAGCCAAAATGGTTACGGAACATCAACAGCAACAATCATGTTAATACCGTTCGTTCGTATCTGCTCGCGTGCCACTCCACATGTATATCCTAAACCCTCGAAAACCGCATTATTCGTCTTCGATCATGCCCCCTTGGGATATATATATATATATATATATATATATATATATATATATATCTTTCCAACCTGCAACTTGTACTTCGTGCGGCCTCGAATGCAGGGGAAGAGAGGACGGACGGAAGAAAGAGACAAGAATGAGGAGGATGGAGCACGAGAGAGAATACCAAGAATTGGGTCGTGTTGTTGTCGTGCTCCCTCGTGCTGCCCTCGTTCTTCCTCTGCTGCAGGACGAGATCAAAGCAAACACGGCCCACGAAATCGCCAGAACACCGTTCAGCTCGAGCCCTGGCGTGTGCGAGGAATGTTTGTCATTGGGAGCTCCCTTGTCCCTGTGGCCACCCTGGAGCCCCGTCCTGAGGATCGCTCCGACCCTTTCTCTGCGGCAACCCTGGGGCTCTCCAAGCTCGCCAACCCGAGGTGTGAATCGACCCGGCTAGTAGTCGTGTCTTTGATCCCTTCCCCGCCGAGGGGGAACCCAGGTGGTGGCTCTATCCCCTGGAGTCACTGACTGAGTATCGTTGAACCGATCCCCATCCCCAGCGGCGTGGCCTGGGCCTCACTGGCCGATTTGCCCTCCTAGATGGAGGTATAGGTCGTTCCCTTCGGGTTTCGAGGGGTGTATCCCCAACTGGGGGGGCAATTTGGTGGGGGTCTCGAAGGGGATGGGGATGGGGATGGGGGTCGATTAAACGATACTGACTAACGCGGGCGATCTTCCCGCAACGTAAGCGGAAGAAGAGGTCGAATCGGCAGCAGCTGCACGCAGGCCGCACGACGGGAAGCGGCAGACAACCTCGACGGAATCGGGGGCCGCACGTTTCCTCTTCTGGGGGTCGGCGGAATGGCGTGAGCCTATTGAATAGAGAATAGATGCTATCGAATATACCATCTACAATCTGGAATGGAAGGTCCTACCAGGTCCGCTCGCGCCACACCTGACGCCCTACCCCTCCCACACATCTGCGTGGAATGTGTGTAGATGCCGGCTGGGATGTCTGAGAGATCTTGGTCCTCGCATGGCAGTCGCAGGGTGTGACACATGGCTTGCCGCGCAATCGGCAACGGTGGCACCGTTGAGGAAGGAGGGGAGGAGCACAAGGATCAGGAAAGGCGGAGGAGCGGAAAGGTCGGCGGTGGACAAACCTCCTTTTAGTAAACCTCCCTTTAGTGAAAACGGCCTAGGACCGAAACCGACGAACCTGGACCCGCAAAACTGACGGCCGCGACGCCCTCTCGCGAACCGAAAACTACCAATTCGCTAATCGACGCGTCTGGATAGGAGGTACATCAACCTCCGAAAAGGGGGGAACGACCAACGGCGAGGAGGGAGGAGAGTAAAGCGTCAATGTGTGGGGAGCCTCTGCGGGGCCTCTTGGCGGTGGCCTCTCGGGCAGACGTGAGCGAGACGTCAACTGCAGTGCAGCGGCACTGCGCGAGGCTGCTCTCCACGGTGCCACGAGAGTGATCCCCTGCGCCGACGAGGCCAGGCTGCGGTCGGCTTGCAGCCAAGGCGAGCAGGCATGGTGCCTGTTGTCCACCACCACCACCATAGGTTGGAGGGGGAGGGGGTCCTCCTCCTCCTCCTCCTCCTCCTCCTCCTCCTCCTCCTCGTCCTCGTCCTCGTCCTCGTCCTGCTCGTCCTCCACCTCCTTCCCCCCTCCAACTTTGGTGGTGGTGTTGGAAAACAGGCCCATCAGAGCAGGCATGGTTCCTGCCCTGATTGGGGAACTCTCTGGTGCAGTGTTCTTTGCGCAGTCTCGTGTTTGCTTGTATCTTGCATCTGCCTTCGTGTCTCTTCATGCTACTGTCCACTGCGGGGCCCGACGCGCCGACAATCACACGAGACGTACCCAAACTCTTCTCCACGCAAGGCGACTAATCCCACCAGCCCTCTGGGCGTCGGTGGTTTAGAGCGTTTCCTCTTCCAACCCTCCTTCTTCCCCTTCGGGGAGGGGTTTACCCCTCCCCCTACCCCCTCCCCACTGACCTGGACAGGGGGGGCCGCGGGTAGTTGGAGCGTCCGAAAACGACCCCTGGGAGGGCTAAAATTCGGCACCCCTCACGAGGATCGTGCCCCCCAGGGGGGCGACGCTAAAAAATGCTTCCCCCTTCTGCGATCGACGTCCTCCAAGAGGGCCTCAAGAGACGTCTCGGACTCTCCTCTTGCGCCCTGCGCGCGGGCGTGCGGAGCGCCGCCCGCCCGCCCGCGAGGCCCAAGAGCCCACCAACACGTTCGAAGATACCTCCAAGACGCCACCAGGGAAGAGGAAGAGGCGGAGGAGGAGGAGGAGGAGGAGGAGGAGGAGGAGGAAGGGAGGAGGAGAAGGCGGAGGAGGAGGAGGAGGAGGGGGAGGAGAACAGCTGCCGATCATCGGCGCTCTTCGTTCGAGTGCCTGGTGTAGGATGGGCTGGTGGGGATACGCGAAGCGTCAAGAATTATATGAACGCTCCATGTAAAATGACACCTTGCGAGATATGCAGCACTCTAAGATTATTCGCTAACATTGTAGGGCCACGCGCGTCGCGCAGTGGTGCCAACATGCAGCGAGATGCCTACGACGAGTCTTCAACATTCTCCCAGTTTGGTTGTCTCACGTGAGCAACGCTGAGGTACGTCAGCGCGCGTGCGTCCAGCCTTTGACATCGACTCTATTGGAAAGACAATTGAAGCTTGTGGCAAGCTGGCCCGGGACAGCGCAGAAAATTTACCGAGACAAATGGTGTTCGAAGCTGGCCCGGTGCATGATTGTTTACCTCGAAACTGGAAGTCCCTGCGATCGAGAAGACGCCCCCGGATACAATGGACGACGTACCTACACGCTGAGACCTTGGCAGTGGCGGGCAACGATCCCGGCACACTACAAGCTCTGCTGCAGAATCCCTCAGACTGGCACGCGGCAGTCAGGCAGCGCTGCGCCCCCCCTATGCTTCCTTTCCCCCTTTCGTTCCTCCTCTCCTCCCCCTCCCCTCCCCACTCCCCCATGGAGACTGTCGCTTGCAGGGTACCGAACAGCGGGTCACCAAGTACAGTGATTGCTGGTGATTAAATACCTTTCCCCCTGCATGGCGTAGTTGTTTTTGAGTGGTTACCCTGCATGTGCGAGTTCGTACTATTTCCGTGCCAATGCGCCGTCTAGGTGCGGCTTCGTGTGTGCGCGTCGCGCAGCTGCGCAGGAGTGAACCACTGAGACAGCGCAATGCGCTACGTGACCATACGGCGCGATGCGCTCTGTGACGCAACAGCGTCGCGAGCCAAATGACACATCTGCGCCACGCGCCACGCGCCATGTGGGCGCCCTGCGCTCCGCCGTGCCTCCCAAGAGCCCCCCCCAGG